CGCCCCGGGCGCAGGAGACCCAACCCGGCACCACGCGCCCTCAGGCCGAGGAATCGCCATGACAAGTGGGGCAGTGCTCACGCCAAGGAATGGCGGTGCCACCGTCGTCTCCTACCCCGCGCCGCTAGCGTGACCCTGTCCCAAGAGGGGGTACATAGGAGGGATGGAGCTCAGTGCCCGACCAGCCACACAGTTACAAGCTTTTGCCTCCCGAGAAGCTGTAAATAGTCACGGCAGGATTAGGTGATGCGACCCAGCGCCCCGGCCCACGTTGCTCCCGGGTCCCTGTGCCACCAAGGACGATGCGGGCTCGGCTGCCCCGCCCTCCTCCGCTGCTTCTCCTTGAGGCGGACAAACGCGCTGCTAAGGCACGGCTATTTAGGCAGTAATCTAATAAGCCTATCGATAAATGTGAGTAATCCTCTCTTGGGTTGTAATTCTCTAGTTACATTGGAATAAAAATGCCTATTTTTGTAAGCTCACGCCAGGCTGAGCGTCTCCTTGCCCTTGCAGGGCAGCGGCGTGCAGCCGCCCTGCAACCCACAGTGCGGGCTGGAGGGAGCCCCGAATTCCCACTGGCCCAGAACATGGAGCCCTGGGCTCGCAGCCCCTGCTCCCATCAAATGGTGTCGGAGTGGCCTTGGTGAGGGGGTTAAATGTGCCAGGATGGACCTGGTGGCCTCAGGGTGGTGCGAGAGGAGTGTCCAGAGGCTTGTCCCCGGAGGGCAGATCTCCAGTGATGCCTGGGAGCTGGGGGGGAAGCAGCACAAACACAGGGGCATAACCAGACCTCAGCAGGGATGAGCGGGATTTAGATATGGGGGAGGCATCTCGGGGAGACCCGCCTGGGGATGGGTTAGCTTTGCTTTGGCTGAGTCCGGACACCCTTTGCAATCAGGAGCCCCCTCACCTCACCTTCCCCAGCACCCAGCCTGGACGCTGCCTGCAGCACAAGGGCTGCTGGTCCGCCCCTGCTGGCAGGGGCACAGCTCAGACACAACCCAAAACCAGGGACCAGGACCCTTTGCAGCCCTTCCCCCCAGCCCACGACCCTCCCTGGCCACGTGTCCCATCCCCAAGAGCTGCTGGCAGCCCTGCGACCGGTGGGTGGGGAAGGTGCCTGTGGC